TGCCCAGTTTTGTACAAGTATGATCTACTTCTCTGGTATTATGGTTAAACATGTTTTCAGAAATCTAAATCTTTTTTTTTTAGGTGAAATAAGCTTCTAGAAATATATTATGTATACATGCTGCAGGTATTTTTACATATGAGTACCATGTACATGACATATTTTAGATCAATTCTATATGTCACAGTTGTCTGTTTGATTACAAATATTATTCTAGTTTTAATCACAAGAACATCACAAGAATCACAAGAACATCATGCTGGTTGCTCTAAACAGGTACAGTACAACTTATTACCAACTTTCTTTAACTAATTATTATTTAACTATTGTTATGGTGATGTGTTCAAATTAGAGTTTTATAATCACACGGCACACATGTTCTGCAAAATATAAAATATCATTAGTATTGTACAGTTAGGAATTCCACTTAGTTTTTACATAATTCTTTTTTATACAACATGTTCTTAATTTTGACAAAGACTGACTCTTTTCTCCCAAAGACCGAGGAGAGTAGACGAAAATAATTTATTTCATTTTTGTGTTCTGAGACGTGTCTCCAAACTATTTAAGAGTGTCAATGACCACATTTTTGGAGGTGCTGATGCTTTTAATTAAGGAATTATTCAGACATGAATAAAAAAAATGGTACTGAAATGTCTGCTGTGAAAATCTTGATTTAAAATTAATTTCAGACATCTAAAAGGATAAAGTCATATGTCATTGTGGGTTATTTATACACTGCTTATTGTATATTAAAATCATATAAATTAAAAAAAAACAATATAATTTCCCTCCCTCAAAAATATGACATATCTGTGTAGTACTTTTCAGATGCTGTGGTTTAACACACATTTACAAATGATGTACTTCTTTAAGGGGAGCAAAAGACATTACCCTACAATATCTGATAACATTAGTGCAGCCACATCATCAATACATTATTTTCAAAGAAAAGACCAAATAAAAAACATTGCTACTTTACAAGACTTTTGCTTAATTAAGTTGCATTGTTTCATGTATAAATGGGTTTTGTATGGTTTGTAAACATCTGATGCATCAAAACTGATACTCTGTAAGCAAATCAGAAATCTGTACAAAGCAGGCAAAAACATTTTATTTTATATTTAATAAAATCTTCCAATATCTGTTATGAAACAGGCACAAATATTATGCTGAAGTGCATTGCCCATTACTTTTATTCACTCTACCTTGACACATTTTAAGGGAATTGTGTTATTCTACAAGAAGCTAAATTAATACTAATCATGTATGACTGAAGACCCCTTAAAATACTGATTTAATGTATAAATGGAAACGTTGATCTACAGTAACATATGAAAGAGTTTGTTTCCCTGGAATACACACTGAAAAAGTTTTTGGAAAAAGAAACAGATTCACCTTAATTAGAACAATTAAAAGTTTCTTAAAAACACTACAGACATTTGAAGTCTATGGTTTGTATACTGCAATTTTCCTTTATTCAGATTTCTTGATGCCCTATTATTAATACAGATTTGAAGTCCAAGTAGAGAGTGTACTCTATGTCTTATGTTTTTTGTGCTTGAAACAGAGAAACCGAAATGATTTTGCCATCAATACGTACAATGTATGTCACAAAAATAGATGAAAATATAGAAAACAGGAAGTGAGCAGCATTTGTCTATGACTTTGAAGAAAAAATGTCTAAATAGACGCTTTGATCTGCAATAATGAATTCCTTTAAGCTTGAAAATTCACCTCTGTTGCACGTATTGTTCATTCTTGCAGCTATATTTTCCACCTAATTGATGCTGGGCTGTCATAGCTGAAGAATTGTTTTTATATGTTTGCGTTGTTCATTTGCATTGCAGAAGACAATAAATCTACTCTAAGGAGTTTTCTACAGTCAATACACTACCACCTACAGTACTTCCATCCAATCTATTGCTCTTATAAATTATATCTTCTAAGTTACTTTCTAAAAGGGCCAGATGTGTTTTTCCAGTTACCCTATGAATGTGGCTTGTTCAGACCAGCATAACAAGCTGTTTCTTTTTAGATTTTACTGGATCTTGAAGAGATCCTTGGATCAATCACGACAAAGGAAGATCATACATCTTTCGGTTTTAATACTATGTCTCTCCAACTTCATATTGGTGTCATTTGTGCCACATACCATTTGTTCATTTAACACTGTTCATTGGATGTTATAATCACATCAATCAAAAAAAAAATTTGTGTCATGTTTAAATACTGTATGAATCATCAAAAACTAAAAAGACCACACTAGAGTAGTATAGCTCATCACATTTAAAACATCCCCTTCTCTCTCTTCATACACCCTACTGTTTGTATTAACTGTGACACATTTCACCGGTCCTACAAGGTGAAAAGTAAGTTTAAAGAATAACAATTAATCTTACTGCACCATGATTTTTGCTGATCTTTTTGACTTAAAAAAATATTACTTAATCATTATGATCTGAGCCAGAATATGATAAGGCATATGAACAGCACAGGATATTAATTCCTTTAAGGAAATAGAACAGTTCTTGTCAATATTGATACTGTGCTCAGTAGAAATTTAAAGTATGAGAATTATGGTGTTCTAAAGAAGTATAGGGATAAGGAAGTGTGCAACTTTTTATTATTTTGTTGCTAATGAAGATGGTGATCATCAAACTTTGGTGAGCCATATACTGTATACAGTATACTATACTTTCTGATATCTGATGCATGTGATGTTATATTGATTATACTACTACTACTACTATTGATGATGTCAGGAGAAATCAGTGTGAAAACATTCATCTGTACTTAAGATAAAAACAGGATGCAGCTCTCTGTGAGATTCACTTTCCATTGTCATTTCAGATAATGAACAACTTGATGTCAAGATGCATATTTGCCTTATGTTTATGTGGGTGTCCTCCTGCACTGGGTTTAAAGCAGAAAAGTCCTCTGGAATGTTTAAAAGGTGATTTATGAATAACAAACCACACATATACCTCCTCAGATAACTATCATAGGCCATAAAAAGATATAAAAGCTCATAAAGCATCTACAATTAACCTCTCTTATTAACTGCAATTTACATTCCGCTCCTAAGAGGATCAATTGTCAAATTTTCATTTACCTTTCACATTTTTACAAGGTTCATATTTCACTTTATCTGACCAGAAATAATAAACCTGTCTCCACCTGAATATTTTTGTCCACAACACAGAGTTTAGGGGAAACAGATTTTGAGAAAAAAAAAGCTGATGAGAAAGATGCATACTTTTTTGCTAACCAAAAAATAACCAAATACAATGAGATGGTGAGGGTACTGCAAGATAATGTTTAATTCTTATATTTTTTTAAATGGTAAAAGAGACCAATATAAACCAAATATTTACCTGCAACACCGCTAATATCATTCACTGCATTAAAACTGGAGGTTTGTGTCACATATATTCAGATTTATTGAAAGATGTAAATACACAATGTTGATCTGAAAAGGGGGCCATTCTTTTTCACACAAGCAGTTTCTCACAACCATCTGTGTCTTCCTGAATGTGCGCGAAGATAACATCATTGAAGTACTACTTCTGTGGTTATCGCGTGGCACGAAACTATTGCTCTACACATTCACTGCTTTACCTTTGGGATACACAAAGTTAGCCAATGTGGTAAATTATCTTCTTCTTTTTTTTAGAATTTGTAATGCCACAGCAGTCTGGTTCAAAGTGGCTTGATGGCTTATATTCAGGATTGTTAAGTGCATTTTGTAACTACTGTATTTACCTAGAAACAATCTGTTTGATTTTATTTCAATGTGCTCTTCATTCACGCAGTTAACATTATTGAAGCAACCCATTAAATTACAAAAAACATATAGATAATTTTCATGACTAGGCAAATAATTCTGTCAGGTTTAATGTAGACAGATGTAAAGTATTAAGTGTAAGCAGTTAAAATAAACCATAGACACAAAATGGGAAACACTGAACTTGAAGAGGCTGCTTATGAAAAAGACAGGTTTTTACTGTATGTTGACACATCATTTACACTTTTACACAGAATTTGCATTTAATGTGGTGAAAAACAACAAAAAACAAATTAGCAAACAAGATGCTTAAAAACACAGAGGTCAAAGGGATGTTATGTTAATAATGTACAGTGCACTAGAAAGACCTCATTAAAAATACTGCATACAATTTTGGTCTCCAGCAATAAGATATTGCTGCTCTGGAATCTGTTCAGAAGATAGTGGATAGATACATTCTGGGTTTTAAAGAACATCCTAGAAGAGCAGAATATCTTTGATCTTGAAGACAGAAAGCTAACAGAGAACATGCAACATAAAAGATTGTGAGATGGAATGAGACAATATTGAACAAACTGCCCAGCATGTTGTTGATGTTGTATCCTACCTTCTTTCAGTGAACGACTGGATGAGTTCCGGTGATCAATTGACTATCAAAAGCCAAAGCAGCTAGATGGGCAAAATAGCCTCTTGTCACAAACTCATATGAATAATCAGCAAAACACAAACACCTTGCTTCCTTTCTGTGCACGTGCTCTTCAGAGGATATGTTTAATAAATTCAAAATTCTATATTTTACTCTGTCTGCAGTCAATCTGAAGCAAACAAATCCCATTCACAGCACAATCTACACTACAGATAATGTGAACTTGTTGAAATTATGTTGAGACACCAAACAATATTACAAAAGGCACATGTAACAGACAGGTGTTTGCATGCGATATTTGAAACGTTTTATACACTCAGATGATTCAATCACCTATTTGTTTGTTTAGCGCTGCAAAAACTAAGATGGACTCATCCATCTACCATGCTCTTATCACAATACACAAAACAACCCACAAAACAGATACACATTTTTAACTGGGATAATTTCATCTTGAAATTCTAAAGCAGTGAAAGCTCCTAGCAGCACACTGAGTTGAGGACAACGTTGTGCCATTTCTCTGCACAAATATACAGGCATAAAAGAAAGAATAATACAATCACTTACGTGCAGGGAACCATGTGCACTGAAAAGTAAGCAAAAAACAGCATGCCAGGGTGTCATAGGTTGAGTAGAAGTAAATCAGGAAATGAACACAATTTCTGAGGTTTAACCGTTGGCAGGGGGAAGGACTTCATAAAAAACCATGCTCTCATGTGAATATTTTCGTTAACTCATTCCAGTATTGCTTTCACAGAAAAATTAAAAAAAGAATGCTACAGGGCTCTAGCACAAGAGCTCTGCTGTGAAACAAAACCTGGAAATAAAGCTAGAACCCTGTTTTCTCTACTGGATACGTAGACATGAGTTCATCACGCATGCTTTCTGAAAAAAAACTTCCTCTATTTCTCTTAACTTGTTAATATAGGGAAAGTAAGCTGAATGATGTGTAAAGTACACATCTTGACCATGTTGTGACTTTATCTTTGATGAAATATACTGGCCCTGTACTTTAATGGTGACATGTTGTCTGAAAGCTGTCATCTCAGAATGAGTTGCCCAGTGATGAGATGGCCCTTTCAAGACCTCTAAACTACAGTTCCCCCAAAGCTAAATCATTATCTGAAAATCATTATTATCTAGATGTATAGTTTTTGGCTCAAACTTTAAATACTTGAAGTTTCAACTCATTTAATGTAACGAACAGTTCTTTCCGGTCCCTATTCAGACAACACAATCCGGAGTAGTGAGGAAACACTGGGGTGAAAGTCATGCAGGAGATGGGAATGGAGACGGGGGGCATGTCCTTGGTGCACTGGTGTACGGGGAAGGTGTGAACGAGGCATACAATCCTGGAAGAAGTCCAAACGGAGAATCCAAAAATGAGTCCATTACCAGGCGATCCATCCAAAACAGGAGATTAAAAACAGGAACCTGGTCGGAACCGGCGGGAGGGGAGCGGGAACAGAGAATAAAACCTTAACTCTTAACTCTTCCATTCCATATAGTCTGATAAGAGAGAGAGAATGGATAAGGAGTGAATGTTTGTATTGGAGGAATGTCACTAGTGGAGTGCCATCTGTATCTGTATTAGGACTACTGTTACTTGTATCAATATCCTAGATTACTAGTTAGTAAACTAGTTAAGTTAACAAAGGACAGCTAATTAAAAAAAATGATCAAACACTGAAGAAGCTGTAAAGAAATTTCTAAAAGAATAAGACATGCAAGACTGGACAAGATTTTAAGGTAAGTACAGAATGTTACTTGCTGGTAGTAAAAAATAAACTTCTTTTCGAAATTAGATGGGAAATATTGACTTTCAAGAAGCTTCTCATGAAAAGCATTGTTTACGTTTGCATTTGTTTTCATCTTCCAAACAATGTGCGCTAATGGCCAAAAAAGGCAAAAAACATTAGGATAACTAGATAAAATTTACAGAACTGAAATGAAGGAATGTCAAAGTTATACCATGCACTGGTGAGAAAAATTTCTTAAGAATAACTTCATTTACAATAATGTGTACAGGTATGGTCACCACATTTTACAAAAAGATACCGCTGCTCTGGAAATTGTCCAGAGAAGAGCAAACAGATACATTCATTAGCTTAAACAAATGCCCTGCAGTGACAGGTTCTTCATAGGCTTGAACTGGGAAGAATCTGATTGGAATAAATTCAAGTATTCGACATCCTTGAGGGCATTATCAAAGTCAGCCCACTGGACTGACTCAACAGTGAAACACGAACCAGAGGAAACAACTGGAACGTAAGAGGAAGTGCATTCAAAACAGAGTCCATGAGGCAGAGTGTTTACCCCTGCCATTCATCCACCTGAATCTTGCTGTTTCCAAGCCAGACAGGTTTGAACTGTGAGGTTTTAACTGATCTGCAGCCAGATATTTTCTTCTATTATCCCGGAGCTTTGTTGCACCTAGAGTCACTGGATTCCCAGCCTTCGGCTTCAACCTGAGCTTCACCGGGTTCTAAGGGAAAACCATAATCAGTTCATGACCGTAACCTGTAAACAATAACCCCATAACCATAACTTGTTTTCTCTTCATAAAATTTTGTCTGGAATTAAAGTAAGCAATTTCTCCCTCAGTACCACAGTGAAACAAGACTTCTTGCTTCTTTTCCCCAGGTGACCAACCACCAGGTGTGCCCTCAGACAATTAGAAAATTGATGAATGGTATGAATATTATCTTTCTGGCACCCCTCTAGTAAAAAGGCATACTACATGTGTTTAATTCCATGGGCTTTAAGTCATAAAATCATACTATGCCAGGGGTTTCCAATTTTGGTCTCTTTAAAAGAGCTGCCCCTGTAGAGCTGAATGAAGCTGTTACATTGGTCTGTTTAAGCCAATAACCAGCTGGTTGAGCTGGAAAATCTGTAGTATATGATCCTACACAACACCAGTCCTTAAGGACTGGTGAGAATCCCTTAGTTTTTCTAGGTCTATTTAAATCATCAACAGCTGAAGACAAAAGATGTTAACTAGCTTGAGTAAGTGAATTTGAACAGAGATGGCAAGGTAAATCCACAGCAGTCCTGCAAGTCATGAGATGTAGACCAGTGCTAAAAGTGCTTTGAAGAGATGGAAAATATTTAAATCTGATGCAGAAAAGAAGCCCGAAGAGCACATTAAAAAGCTATTTTTATGGCATTGTATTGGGTTGTTTTTTGAAGAGAAAGTTTCGTGGTCACCTCCCTGTTTTGTTTGGTAGTAGAGGGTCTCTGAGTTGTGAAGGACAGAACGGTGTTGGTTAGGGTAAGTGGTTGAAGGCATGGATTGCGGTTGGCTATCCTGGGGGATACGTCTATCTACTGCCTAGGGAGCACTGTACAAGCAGTGGGTCTACAGGGTCTACAGGTTACAGGAGGAGAGAAGCACAGGTAGCTAGCCAAAAGGTTAGGAACCATGTCCTTGCTCTGTGTTTTGAATAGAGGTGTAGCTCTTGCTTGGATGCTAAGCTGGTGGCAGCTAGGTTGAGGGGAAAGGGATCCCATCAGCAATTGAAGAAGACCAAGAAACTAATAGCAAGCCTGACTGGTGCTGTGACAAACTATTCAACTTTATTTGTCATTATACTTACGTGGGTGCATAGTATAGTGAAAAGTGTTTCTCATTAGTCTCTCAGGTTCAGTATATCAAAAGAAGAGCAGACAATGGACAATAATACAATAACAATAACAGTGTGAACAACAGTATGGTGCCAGTGCAAAAGTGTCAAAAACTGTGCAAATACATAAACAGAGAAAAGTATACAAACAGGACAAAAACAGTGCAAAAGTAATAAGGCAAACAGTGCAAAAATATTACAGCGATTATTAAAAAGTACAACTGTTCTTGTGTATGTAGTGGTGTAGGAGTACAGTCATTGTGGGTGTTACAGGAAGAAGTGAGGAGAGATATGTTTGGGTTATGTTTAGTGTCCCTAAAGTTCCAGACAGGCAGGGCTACTAGTGGTTAACATTAAGCAAGAGGTTAAAGGTTAGGTTAAGATCAAGGGACAGAAGAAAAAGGGTAGAGTTTTTTCTTTTCTGGGAGTGGGTTAGATGTGATTACAAGAGAGATATGATCCAGAGAGGATTCTGGTTATTACAGCTTCCAGACTTCATGGCTATTAATTGAAGGGAGACGGCACCTGTCTGCTACATGTGATAGAGGTGCAGTTGTAAGCTCTCAGGTTGCATGGGGTTAGCCTCTTTATCCACTTCAGGGACACAGGGGAGCCAGAGTCTATCCCTGCAAGCAACAAGCACAAGGCAGGGTACACCCCGGATGAGATGCATGTCCATCACAGGGCTCACACAGACACAGACACGCACACACTCACACCAGGGCCAATGTTCCAGAAGCCAATTAACCTACCATGTACTGTAGCCTGTAATGACATGATATTTTGAGATAAATATGGACGTGGACTGAGGGAGGAGCTTTTTTGGTGTGGTTTAAAATAGAGAAGTGAAACTAAGAAAGTTAAAAACAAGGAAATGCACTTCAGGTGCATGAAGACTTTCAAATTTAGATATGCTTCTGGAGGAGCAATAGGGGAGCAAAATGCTCAGATTTTTTTCCCCATATATATTTATTTTGATCTTAGATCAAGAGCTTACATTTTGCAAATGTGAAGACAGACTATCTAGCCTATCCAAATAAATTGGTTGCTATAAACTATAAAAGATCAGAGAATCTCATCCAGCTGTTTCCTGAAAGTAGCAATGCCATTGGCTTTGACAACCCAACCAGGTAGCTTGTTCCAGATTCTCACGACCCATTCATTCGTGTCCTCTGGTTCATGTTTCATTGCTCAACTTTGGCAGTATCTTTGAGGATTTAAAAACATGAAGCACAAGCATGAAGCACAATATTTTACATAGTACGGCATTCCTCTGTGGCAGAGAATATACAGTATCCCTTCACTATACAAGTTTTTTATCTTAGTAATTCTTGCTTTTTTTTTTCATTTAGCAAGCAGATTTTCATTCTTATTACCCATAAAGCATTTTCTAGCATCTTCTCAGATGAGAAATTTGCCTTTTACTTTTTATAATAATAACTTTTTTTTATAATAAAGGCTGATGTGTGTTAAGTGCATATAGGACAGGATAGTAGCTCATGTTTATGCATTTGCTAATAACTGTAAAGATGTAAACTGTACTGTAAATGAGCTGGAGTGTTATTTTTTTCCTACTATTGTAAATACATTGGCTCATGACATTGCATTGCATTGTTAGTCAAATAATTAACCAGGAATGTTATTTTATATATACTTATGTGCCATTCAGTGCTGTATTAAAGAGAAGTTTAAGTGTCTTAGGGAACATTTTTGACTTCTGGGACCAATTGGGGATTGTAACAAGAAAACGAGAAATGTATTTTGACCATACAAATTTGCACATTACAAATTGTCATTCTTTTTTGAGGAATGAATTAAGCTTGCATAGCAAGGGGTTATTGTATCTGTAAGTATTCCAGCAATATCTTTTTTGTAACACGATGACCATATTAGTTATATATTGAACACATGGTGACCATAGACAATCTTCTAAATGAGGTGTTATAGTGTATTGTACAATGTAATGTAACATTCCTTGATTTACATTTACGTTTCAAATATTATCTTGTAACATGCTGTCTGTTTTATTGGTTCCCAACATTGTCTAAAAGATGTAAATTATGTATCAACATAAACACTTTAACCTTTATAATTAGATCTGAAACAGGAGATTATCAGAAAACTACGTATCCTGGTGAAGGTCATGGGAAAGCTGGAGCCCATCCCAGAGGCACAGGGCACAAGTGGACAATGAGAGTAAGTGATTGAT